GCTCGCCATCCCGCCCAGCGCCGCGCCGGGACCCGCGCGTCCGGCCGGGAAGGGTCTGTCTCTGGCCGGGCCCCGGCGCTGGCTCCCCAGGGTGCTTCCCTCCTTTTTCCCATTCATGAAAATCACCGCATCGATCTGGCAGGAGGGTGGGATGTGAAGGGATGCGCGGTCCGCGGGAGGAGAGCGCCCGCAGGGGCGGCCTCCTTCAGGTGCCTTGTTCTCGGGGGGGCTTGCGATCTAAAATCCGGAGAGCCCTAATCCTGCTGCGGCAGGGTGGCCGGACTTGTGTGGGCAAACTTCTGAAGCATATGTGGCCCGTGAGCCACTTTTCAGTATATCTATATACTGAAACAAAGTGTGAATACAGCTGTAGCTGTCTTCATTAATTCTGGGAGTACCGTTTGTGTCATCACAGAGGCAGAACGTAGTTAGGTAGAATTCAGTGAGTCTAGTTAGTTCAAGTGTTATTCTCAGGTATGCCCTCGATAAAGAGTTTACATAGTAAACATGGAACGTTTATGCTGTTCCTACAAAAACATCAAAATAAGTAAAATCAAAGTGTGAAGCAACAGCCAAATATCAGATTATGGCTACACATAAAACAGCATACAATAAATTGTAAACTCTTCACTCTGTCTTTATCAGGTGGGCACATTGCTGTTTTCTTGTAGTTTATGTGTTATGGCTGCTCTTCCTGCAAGCTACTTACTATTTTAATACATAAAGTTGTTTTTTCTATGTTATGATAGTTCATAAAACACTCAATATTAGTAACAATAGTTCAGAACTAAATGGTGTGCAATTCCAGTTTATAGAAGACTCTTTTTTCCCTGTTTAACTAAATGGAAATATTTTAAAATAAGATTTGTGTGTTTATAGAAATGCTGTTTGCATTAAGCCATTGAAATTTGTTTCTTTCAGAAATGAAACAAATACATTGCAAATACATACAGGCCCTGCTTCGCTGTATTTCAGAGTCCCTGGTGTTCCATAATCTAGCTCTGATACATTTGAACCTGCTAATGATACATTGTGGAAACAGGAGCCTCATCTATTGGAAAGAATTTTTTACAAACAACTCTTATTAATTTGATATTTTTTTTCCTTTTTGTCAAAAGGCAGAAAATGTACGGACTGTGAAATGTTTAAATATTGTGGTAGTGAGAACGATAAAGTGCATTCAGTTCCATTTTATTTGGAAGATTTCTGACAGTAGAAGGAAAATGGCAACTCCCAGGTAACATGGGAACAATGCTAACGCTGGGGAGCAAGGGGAGCAGGGTTGCAATGATACCAGAGATACTGCTGGTGACCACAATATCTTTCTCTGGGATCTGGGAGGCTTAGGAGTTTGGATGTAATTCCTTGCAACAGCTGGGGATGTGTTTTCATGCTCTGGTGTGTGTAACCTAATGAACTTCTGAAGCTCTAGGGAGCTGTGCAGTGTCTTCACTGGGGTAAGCGTAGGTCTGATGTGGCCAAACACAGCGTGCACAGCTGGGTCAGTCTGTGCCTGGCTGGAGCCAGCAGCTGGGTCTTCATCTTCATCTTGCTCCAGGAGTGGGAGCAACCCTAGAAGCAGTTGTGCTTTTGTACTTTGTTGGAACAGAGCTTGTTCTTCCCAACTCGTTACCGCACACGGGTGCCTCTGTTGTGACTTTGACACTATCTCAAAAACCTTCCAAGGCTGAGGGCTTGAGCTGCCCCTGTCACGAATGGTGGAGATCTGACAGTTTATCCAAAGTGCATGTATGTACTATGATAAAAAACCTTAGTTGTATGATAGGAGAGTAAGTATATCAGCATTTAATCCAGGAGATGCCTCTGTGTTTTTCTTACTAGTCTTTTTAATTTATAAGGTATTTCTTCTTTAATTTCCTACCTAATCCTGCCCTGCAGTTAAAATGCAAACTTTAGGAAAATTATCAAGATTGTTTCTATGAAGGGGTATGTCTCACAAAGATGAAGCTGAATTAAAAATTGCATTCTTACATAAGTACCCTCTGAATAATTATGCTGCTGGCAACCTCTTGTATCCCTTTCCCCATTTTTACTCAACAAGAACAGGTATTTGGTGTGTATGTCTTTGAGAATGATTTGATGAAACCCATCAATAAAAGGAAAAAACAAACAACAAAGCTTTGATATCTTTTAACTCTGAGCTTCTGTGAGACTCAGATGACAAGAAATAATTAATTTCTCCTATAAAAAGGTGACTCTGACTTGTGGCAGAGTGCTGTTTGGCATTTCTTCTGATGAATTGAAAAAGCAGTCTAAGCAGACTCCCTTCCTGAGTCAGACTCTTGGTGTTTTGCCTTGACTAAGGATTTAATTGTAGCTGTGTGGATTTCTAATTATTTTAGTCAAGTGATACGGGCAGTTCTTTTGTTGCGAAGGGCAAAATAATAATGCTGTGTTGCATTTCATATGTTGTGAGATCCGTATTTCTGCTGTTACTTCAAGTACTAGTTGCATGTTTGAAATATCTATTACTCCTTCGGAATAACTGATTGGATTAAAACACATGTAGTGCCTTCCTTATAGCTTTTGCTTTATGTCAGTATGCTCGTCTTTCATTAAGCTGGAGTCATGAATGGGTATGAAAAATAAGGTTATACTCATTAATTAAAAAAATCAAGGACAGCTGAGTAAGTTTAGAGATAATGTAAAATTGTCCATGTAATTAAATATTTGCACCCTTAAGTAGAACAGAATTATAACTGGATATCTCTGCAGTCTTCAGAAACCATTTTCTATTGCCTGCAGCATATTCATATATAAAATATGAAAATAGAACATAATTCTAGTGTTATGATACAATCAACTGAGAGAAGCTGAGAGGAGTAATCTGCTAAATCTGGATGAAGCTGACTTCTGTTAAGTAACAAGATAAACTGGAAGCCAACCAGCCGAGTGGAATGGGGCATTGCCTTTAATTTTCTATAAAATTAGAGAAACACCTTTAATGTTTTTAATGGTTATTTGTTGTGTTGTTTTTTTTTTTTAAACAGAGAAATCTTATATTAGAAAAATGTTGTTTTGACACACAATTGGAAATAAATTTTGACTAGACTGTATTTCTAGGGTGAGTGCTTCATTGAGTTACAGTATTGCTAAGATGAAATTGCAGACTACAGTAACCTCTGTTTATTTTGGAATCACTTTATTTGTACAGTTTACTAAGAACTAAATTGTTTTGGGGAGTGAGTGTATTCGGATAATGTTTTTGAACATGTCACATTGACTTTTGGTCACTAATTTTCTTTTGGCTAAGAAAAGTGATGTGAATTTTATTTTGTTTTATAGCAGTGAAGATAATTAACTTGCTTTACTTGGATCTCACGTTTGTGCAGAAGAAACCACATTTATGGCTATTTAGAGAAATAAATAGTTCAGTATGCTAATTCAGTTTAGCCCCTGAAAACAGCATGACATTTCCCAGCCTTCATCACTGCTGCTAAAATTCTGTGGTTTAAAACTGGAGAAGTTTTGTATATCCTGAATTAAAGTTAAATAAGACTTTCTGCTATGATGGCAAATTAGTTAAACTTTAGTTTTATAAGTGATTTGGTTTTGTGTAAGGTGGGATACAGTGGAAAGTTTGTTTTTAGAGGCTTCTGTGCTGTCAGATATGTTTAAAAAACAGAGGTTGTAGCAGACATTTGAAAGCGTCCAAAGCTGTGCCTTTTTGAATGTGACACAGAAGTTCCACTTTCAGCATTCTCAGCCTCTTGGTAGTTGCTTTATGGGCTATCTTTAGTGGTCAAGTTGTAAGACTTGCAGATACCACAGAAGACTACAGGAGTTTCTGTGTAACAGGTGTCATTAGAAGTCGATGAGGGAGAATGTTAAAATAAAGGCAAGCAAAATGCCTATGAAAATAAACAACATAGAGTGAGTTGTGAGAGAGGTAAGGAAAGAGGAATAAAAAATATTTGCAAGATGGAAATTTTGTGGGGTTTATTTCCAAACATCATGAATTAAAGAAAAAAAAAAGGTGAGAAGGTGCTTAGCCCAAGTAGAGTTGCCTTGTATGTGTGAAAGTGGTGCTTTCTTGCTGTACATAGCTCAGAGGTTCAGCACCACGAGTGCTTGAATAACAGCAAAATCACTCACCCTTTAAGAGGTTGCTGGAGTCTGACAACCTATCTGCACAGTAAGAAGTGGATGGTGCAGAGCTTTACATAAGCAGAGATGGTAAGGTGGAGGTTAAAGTAAATCATGGAGCTCATATTTACAAAAACTTTTTTGAGTAATAAACAAGTGCATTAGCTGAGATATGAATGGGCTCTGGCTTCTAGTTTGGAACCTGTTGATTGATGCTTGGCCAGTCTGATACAGACTGAAGAGCATTGTCTGCACTAACCTATGCAGCTTAATCTGTGTATTTCATTGAATCAATATTTAAACTTAATATGTTTGAAGTTTAAAACTTAATATGTTTAAGTTTAAAATTATATACACACTTGCAAAGTTGTCTTTTTATATTGGGGAAGCTGTAGCTTCCCAATATAACTGTAATCTTGTCACAGTTTTTAAACCAGTAAACTCTTCTGGCTTTACCACACCACTGCTAATACTGCTAAGAATGATGACTATATATGTTTTACATATAGAAGTTATATGTGCATATATACATATGTATTGTTAATGGACTCTGCAGAGCTTCTCAACTCCCAAGTTTTTGTTCTAAAGCAGATGAGGTTGTTCTGAACTGAAAATGCTGTTGTTTGGCTTGTTTCTGATGCTGTTAAGTGAAATAGCCTTGAGGATGTTTTCTTGAGGATGTGTGTTGGTTAAGAAGTAATGCTTTAACTGGCATTTGAATTATATGGGATAAAACTGTTCTAGTCTTTGAGTGCATACTTTCATTTCTGAGTTAAAGCCTGTTAATGCTTAGAGTTTGTGAAGCAGAGCATTCCATGTCCTAGAGTTGTTCTGTGAATAATTTTTCTTTCATTTTTGCAGGCTGGAGCTCTTGATTTATTGAAGGAGCTTAAGAATATTCCCATGAGCCTTGAGTTGTTACAGGTATGATTTTCTTATTGTTGTTGCAAATATTAACTCTGTAGCGATAAAGGTGAAGCCAGCAAATTTGGAAGAAGGTTGTGCTATTAAAAGTAGGTTCCTCTGTGGAAACTCCTTGGAAGATTGTATTATTACAGAGTAGCTAGCCTTACTTCAGCCTGATTTAGGGCTCTTAAGTGTTGTCTTACAGTAGCTAGATCTTAAAAGCTTATCTTTATGTTTAAGTAGAAAATAATTAATTTTGTCATGGGCAATGGGAAGATCTACTTATAAACATGCCTTATGTGTAATCTTGGGGTCTTACTAATACAAATGTGATGTGTTTCCTTCCTTCTGAAGGGAGAAGGCACCCGATTGCAGCTGATACCTGATTACAGCTGTTACCTTCTTTTCTTATGTAGTTGGTTCCGGTTTTGGGTTTTAAATGAGGGGAAACATAGGTCATGTCTTCAGGCAAGTTGTATTTGACCTTTCGCTCCCACCGCTGTGTAACTCTGAGTAGTGTATTAAGGTAATCGGACTACTCCTCCTGCTCCTTCCTTTTTACTCCCCTGGGCAGAAGTGGTGCTATAGTATAATTGCACACATGCTCAGTAACTTTGCTCATATCTACATCTCTAACACAGTATTTCATATATTCTTTATAAATTCTTTCAAAAAGTAACTTTATTTGCCTGTCAAGTTTCAGCATTTGTAATGTTATTCATCAATCAACAACTTCCAAAGTAACTAGGTATTTCCTGTCTCTGTGAAAATTTTCAAATGGCAGAGATAAATGTAAGAACTGAATTCCTGTGGTGGCCCCTTAAATTGGAAAAGACTGCAAAGTAACTTTTTAGTAAGACAGTTAATAGTCACAGACACAGAATTAGCTGTAAAGTAAAAATCTTGAGTGTCAGTAACAATGTCATTCTTATCATATGCATCTGATATGTTTGCAGTATGTAGTTAGTACATTTTTGCTATTACTGTTTGTGACAGAATATAGAATTTAAAGTGTCACCTTCATGCATGAATGAGCATGGCAGATGTGGCACTGCAACCTTCTCTATGTTCAATCTACTTCCTTAAAAAAAAAAACCCAAACCAAAACCCCACTGAAAAAAAACCCCACAAGCTCCACACAAAGCAACAGCAAAACCTAGAAGAAACCTCTGTTAACCTGATTCTTAGGAATTTCTTTGTGCAGATCTTAATACAAAGTGTTTGTGTAATAATCTCTTTTTGCCTTTGGAATGAAAAATCTCTCTGCAAGTACTCCAGAAATTTTGTACATGCTGCTATGCAAACTTTTTCTGTTTAGTGTAAATAATGAGACTAGAAAGAGAAGCTCTACACAGAACAGCAGAATAATTTTACCCTTGAACCTTGAACATCTGAAGAATATACAAGTAGATAACTTTTTTTTTTTTTTAGCTGCAGTGAAAGCTTGAGTAATGTTATCAACAGAGGAGGACTCAGTCTTGCCAAGTACAAACAAACTGAACTATCTGTCTTTTAGGGCACTTGTATGACTGACTCACTTAACTTATGAAGAGTTGCATATTCAGTCTAGTTTTCTATCCTACTTGAAATAAGCCTATTTATTCCCCTCCCTATAACAGGTACCTGATTTGAGAGTGAAATAATATTTGCAGTAAAAGAGTATTTTTAATCTGTATTTGGGCTGGCTCTGTATGAGAAGATGTCCTTGTTTCAGAGTATGTCTAAAGAGATGAGTTATTTGAGTATACTCTTGTGTAGTAGATGGAGCGTAGCTTAGGTAAGAAGTTTTTCTGGATTATCCACTGTTGTATTCAAAACAGTTCTGTTCTATAAGATTGTGTTTAGAAACAAGTTTAGTCTCAAATTTACTGTTGTTGCTGTGAGTTTTATAAATACATCAAGTCTGCCGTATATTTTCTGTGTTAGCCTCGAAAATTTGCTACAACAGAGGACTCAGACCAAGAGTTGAAATGCAAAGTAATCCTGCTCATGGCTCTGGTAATGGATCATTAGCATGCTAATGTCAAAAAGCGTGATGATGATCGTGAGAAAGTGGAAGCACTAATTTCCTCTGTGTGGATTGAGTTCTCTCTTGATATGTTTGAGCTGATGAAATGCAGGACACAAGTAAAAAGCATACTTCCACACCCATTTTTAAGCAGATTTGGGGGCTGGCTACATTGAGAAAAGCACTGCTAGCTGGTATGGTAGTTTAGTTATTTCAGTGTGATAAGTGAAGCGGCTTTTTTTTCCTGTAACATGATTGTTGCTTCAGTCTGAGCTGGCGATTTCTTCGGAACAATTTCCAGGTATGTGGAATTGGAAGGTCTACATCAGTAGTCAGGACTGGTGCTTGTTTCTTTCTTGCCTGCTTTTTGTCACAGAAAGCTGAAGTGATTACAGGCAATAACACGACTGTCATATCTAACGAGTTTTATGTAAGCAAGCTGACCCTTGCTCAGCTAGGCAGGGAGCCTGTAGCTTTACCTCACACGTGATTTATCTGAATGTCAGATTTGCAAATCTGTTTAGCAACCACACAGTATTAAAGGCATTGTGTCCCTGGTGCTAATTGTGGGTAGTGTGCAGCTGAACAGTGAGTGAGACAGACAGTCTTTATTTTAACAAACTGGTTTTACTGGAAATTACAGGTATGCTGTGTAATAACAGAACTAGGCTGCCATGTACACTCCTTAAGGACTTCTTGCCAGTTCATTGGTAAGCTGGGGAGATGTGGTAACCTGTAGGTGATTATTCTTCAGGAGTTGGTTTGGCTCTGCTTTGGTCCAGATGCTCACCAATCCTGTGTCCTCATACTCTCTTAGAATTTAAGAGTTGGTAATACCTCTGCTTTCTTCAGGGGTTGCTTTTCTTCCCCAGCTATATTCCTTACATTTTCTCATTCGATCTGGTTCAGAGAAGAGCAGCTGCCATTGTATGCTTTATTTTGTTTCATTCATAGGTTACTTAGATTAACTGTCCCTCTGAAGACGGTTTGGCCTCTAGCTTGAATATTTCAGGGGTGAAAACAGCTGTCTTACGCTGTCTCTGAGCATCTTTACTCTCAAAAACTGAAAAAGTGCTCTAGAATTTGAAGTGAGGAAGGACAATCTATTAAATACCCGTTTTGGATAGGACGAAGAAGGCTTTCATACACTTGAACCTTTATAAACTGGCACAGGGTTAAAGCAGTTCCGCAGATTATACTGGGCTAGGCAAAAGTACTGGAGTTTTCCGCTTAAATGTGTCTCACAAGAAGAGAGGCTGGAAGACTGAGGAAATTGGTAGATCGTTGCTTCCCCTCCCTTCCAGCCCGATCAGGTGCTCTATAAAAGCAATCAAATAAACTATGTTTATGTATTGCCTTAAGAAAGCTGGCAGTTTAGACAGTTACTAGAATGTTTCTTTTGTGAGATCAGAAGAAGAAATTATCCAATTAATTTTGGGTTTTACTTGACTTACTTAGGTTAAGTCTGTACGTTGGTCTGTTTTCTTCTTGCTGATCAGAATAGGCTGTGGTTGTGCCCCCTTATCAGTGGAGGGTTGGGTTTTTTTGTAGATATCTTTTTGACATTCAGGTATGGTGAGTATTTTATGGAGTTCCAAGCACGAGGTGTTGTTTATTGCCTGAACGTAATGTTGAGAGTATGTGTTCAATATATCAAGAGAGTTGGCCAGTGCTGTTAGTCTGAGGGAGCAGAGTCCATCTTGAAACACTTTAGTTACAGGTGAGTACTCATCTGTTTTCTTTACTCCAAAATATGTGTTTAAAGCTGGTGCTCAGACCTGAGTTATTCACTGTGTTTCCTTTGCTGTTGTAGTTACTGAGTATTTCAGTACATTTCCAGTAATTTAGCAAACCCTTGGTGCCCCAAAAAGTGTGGGGTGGGTTGTAAGGAGTAATTTACAGGAAGAAATAATTTCCATTTGCAGCAAGCCACAAAGATTTAAATTTCCTTTTTAAAGGACAAGGAAATTTATGAGGAAGTACTGCAAAAGTAAGCAGAACAATTTATATTTAGTGAATCCTGTAAATGGTAAATGCAACAAAATAGAGCAGCTTAAGAACAATTAAAAAAATAGTTATCCACCAAAATATGAAATGATAATAAAATACTTGTATTGTAAAACACTTCTCTTTTGTCACACAGCTAAAAGCATGGAAAGGTTGCTGTACTTGTTAGAGTTAGTCAGAAGTCTTTTAAAATGAAAATTGTTGCTGTTGAGCTGAATTTATATCCTCATCTTCTGAGTCTTAGGAGTGGTTTAAGTTAATCTCCTTTTTACTCTGTAGGTGGCAGTAGTGCCAAAGGTTTAAAGCCTGTCACTATCTTGGCTTTTTCGGAGAGGTAGGCTAGGTTTACTGTTTATATCTAAAAGCAGAACCCTCTGTGCTAAGAATCTCAGTATTGCCAAAACTAGTAGAAACTTAAAACGTGGTTGATCCCAACTGACACTACAGCTTCTTCTTCTGCCATTAAATGGGAATTCTAAGAGTGTGAAGTCACTGAAGCAGTTAGCAAGTCAAAATACAAGTTCAGTCATTGCTTCACAGAAAAATAAGATCTGAGGCCAGAACCTTTGCTATAATTTTTCTATAACGTTAAGAAGTTCATATGATGTTTACAATGCTAGATGGTTTGAATGTTGTACTTAGTTTAGGTAAGTAGTTCTGCAGAGCTTTTTGAGATGGTTTGGGTGCAAAAATCAGACTCTTCTTAATCCTCCTACCCACCCACTCCCCAAACTTCTGTGATGGAGACAAATTATAATACTGTTGTATTTATTTAAAAAATGTTTGTCTTGTTAAAATAAGTTCTGTAAAAGCTTGCAGCATTTTATCCAGTTTGTTGGTTATTGTTTTGTTTTTTTAAAATAAAACCACAAAAACAAAGGGAAAAGGGGCTCTGACACAGTTTTTAAAAAGTGTAACTGTATTTAAGTTTACATATTTAAGTGTCTTCATGTCACCTTATATAATGTATTTTTTAATTTCTGTTGTAGTCTACCAGAATTGGCATGTCAGTGAACGCAATACGCAAGCAAAGCACAGATGAAGAAGTTACGTCTTTAGCAAAATCTCTTATCAAATCTTGGAAGAAACTGTTAGGTATGGTGACACAAGCTTTTTTTTCCCTTGCATGTTTAAAATGTATGCAGTCTTGATGCAAACCCTTAACTGCCTTGCTTGAAACAGACTTGTCTATGTATTGAAACTTGTCGTTGTGTTTTGCTCTTTGATTATCACTAGTGTGTCGTTCTGAAGGTGTATTCAGAGAAAAAGTTGATGCCTTTTTATTGGGACTGGCAAGCAGTTGGAAGCCAGCTTCTGGGATGTGACTCATTTCTGAAGTCTTGTTGCCTGCTCTTGAGCTAGAGTGACTGTACTGCAGTACTAAGCACTAATGAACCTGTTCTTGACTACTTCCTCTGTCAAACATAACAGGTACTCTGAAGAACTTGTGCAAAACCTCATACAAGAGTGTGGAGGCTTGGAAGTTTGGTTATAAAGTGGTTTGTGAAGAGGAAAAAAATATAAAAACTTAATGTTAAAAATCTGATAGAACTTACAGGTAGTGAGAAACAGATATGCACTTTATAGAACCTTCGCAGTTTTAAACAATGTCCTAATTAACGAGTTAATACTTTTTGTTTAATTTCCCTGAATGCAATGAATGCTGTGAACAAAACCTTTTTGTTAGCAGAGTCTTTATTTAAGGGTATTTTGTAGTATGTAATTTAAATGTATCTGAAGAAATTCAAATCTCAAACTGTGTCCAGTTATTTTTTGTTCATACTGTGCTATACTCTTACTTTGTTTCTTTGTATTTAATTTTAGGTAACCTAAGGGTTAGGAAGCTTAACATTTTGAAATAAAAATAGTTTACATTATTTTCTACTGGTTTAAACATTCACTATTCTGTTTAGAAAAATATGCTAAATACCAGGTGGTGTTAGAGTCCCCTGACATTTGTAGTCAGTCTCATTTTTATTAGTTCTAAAGTATTTTTTCAGATACTTTATAACTCTCTTGTAAATTCTGTAGAAATGACTTTGTATCCACCTGACAGTGTACAGATGTAGAAAAGGACTATTTGTCACAGCTTTCAATGCATATTCTAGCAGCATCCTCTACAGCAGACATATTTTTTAACCTACCTTAAAAAAGTTAGTTAATTAGCTAAGTTTTAGTAATTGAATTTAGATAATGCTAGATGTGCTGATAAAATAATTTTAGAATCACGATAATGACTTTTATTATAAATCAAGTACTTTTTTGTAAAGGATCTGATCAAGGTTCAGTGGTAAATAATGAAAATTATATACTTTTAAAATTTTCACTTAGATCTTGAAGTTCAACTGTATTATATCCGATGCACAAAAGTGTTAAGATACTTAAATGGAGAAGTGGACTTGCATATTAACTTGAGTTAGTCTGAAAGCTTCTAAAAGCAGCAGCTGGATTGAGTGACTTAGCTCTCAAGTTCTTAATCTCAGTTAAAAAAAACACCTCACATTATTTTTTTGTTTGTTATTTCTTTTCCTCTACATTTCAAATTTTTGATACTGCAACTTAGGCAACAAAGTAGAGGAATTTTTTTTTCCCCCACTCAGGTTCTCAACTTTTGGGAGTGTCTTTGGTTACTCCTTTGCTGGGAGATGGAGTGGTGCTAACCCTTCTGGATATCACTGTCCTTTGAGTAAAGGAATTGCAGTTTTTTTGTTGAGACAATAAAAACAGTGTTGTTTTTTTTTAGTTAACACAGTATCTTAAGCCAGTCAAACTTGTCTTAATATATTATTTATAGCTGAGTGATAACTGTTCAGAATTTGTGAAACGCAGGGAGTATTATTCCTACCTGAGGACCATGCTGTAGAAGTCTGGAACAAGACCATGATGATCACAGCAGGTCAATCTGGGTGTAGGCTGCTGCTGAAAGGGATGGTGCTGGCTTCTCTTACAGAATTATAGAATCATTACGGTTGGAAGAGACCTTAAAGATCATCAAGTTCCAACCCCCCTGCCATGATCAGGGATCCCTACCACTAGATAAGGTTGTACAAAACCTCGTCCAACCTGGCCTTAAAAACCTCCAGGGATGGGGCATCAATATGCAGATAATGAATCTATGCATACCTATTACGCATTATATACCTATTATAACATACTCCTTATGAGGAGTGTTCCTTTATGTTAAAAAACAACAACAAAAAAATCTTTAAGGAATGTAATATGCTCCATCACAAATAATTACTTACTGAATTATTAGAGTTATACAGTGACAAAGAATGTCCAGACCTATAACTAAGTAAACTTAATTAACTCTAGTAGGTTTATGTACTGAACTTAAAATGCAGAATGGTTGGACAGTGATCTTAAGTGCAAGTCTGATCATCTGTTGCCAGTATTAAAAATGGGGCCATTAACATTTTGAAGTGCCTGTTTCCAAAAATTGCGTACCCGAATAATTTTAGCTTAAAATAATGTTTAAATGCTTAATGTTGCCAAGAGAAGGTAACACACAAATTACTTTGTTCATAAAATCCTTGTTGTTTTGAACTTGGGTTTGATTCTCCTGAAGTAAGGTGGTAGAATCTAGGACTATGTTACAGGTATGTAAGGACATCTAGTAACCTACTGACTTTGCTGGAAATGATTGTTATTGTTTGAGAGTATTGTTTACTATTGATAGGAAGAATGCATTGTGTTTGTAAGATATCAAGTAGGATCAAGGGCAAAAAGAGTTTCAGTAGTTTAATTTCCATATAAAGTATTAGCTGTGGAAATAACCTCCTGTGAGATGTGTATTTGGAACCATTCATGTACAATTAGCTGATCAGTAATTTGTTAGGCTTATCAATGGAGAGATAATAACACATGATGCAAATTACATCATACAGTATTAAAGAAAAAATGTGTTATGCTTTTTTGTCACTTATGATAATAAAGTCTTTAAAAACAGCAAACAGTTCATTATTTTGCTGTTTATTTATAGATTTTAGGTAGTATTCCTCCCTGTGCTTACTACTAGGAAGAAGCTTTTCTGATTTTACCTTCATGTCTTTCTACATCTTGCAGAGGAATTGCTGACAAGCATAACTGTCTGCACATCTCAAGATTATTTTGGTCAGGGTCTGGAAAATATGACCTAAAGAACTATTAAATACGATGGTCATTTTTAAAATTAATGACTATGTAATCTGTTGCTTTCTTTCATTTTCTCCCTTTACTTATTTAAACTGAATACTCAGAAAACTCTCCAAGTTTTGGTGGTGATATCTGAATCAGCAACATGATAATCCACTAAATTAAATTCTCATGTGCTTCTAGGGAATAGCTAACCACCTTTCGTTAACATTTCTGCAAAGTTCTTGCTTCAAAAAAGTTTTAATTTGAATTTTTAAATTAATAACATATTTTTTATTTTCAATTTTTTTCTTGTTACTAGCAAATGGCTTGAGTTCACTTGTGATATAATTATAATCAGAAGAATCTACAATTACACTATTAATGGATTCTAACATTCAGATTAATTATGTTCTCTCTGGCCATGTATTATTAAATTAAAAATTCTATTAACTAAGAACACTGTCATGTTTTGGTTTACCCTGGAGAGATTCTTTCAGTAAAAAAGGTAGAGCTACATTTCAAATTAATTGCAAGCCCCACATAGAAACTGCAATGCAGTAGTCAGAATTTGGTAGTCTTATGCCAATGGCTGATAGTCAATTCATTTTACCAGCTTGTTCTTTGTACTTAAAAAGGACATTCATGTAAATTAGTTTGCTATGTAAAAAAAAAAAAAAGCTTGAAGATTATTTTTTATGACCTGCTGAAGCTGCATTAGCTAAAACTGACATTACAGTTTTCAAACCTAAAATTGATGAAAATTTCAATCTGTTTCTAAAAAAAAGTATGTGTAAGTTTTAATAGCTGTATGAGGTTGAAAAAGTAATTGTTCCTCTTTAAAGCAACTTATAATTTATCTTTTATAAATATTATGATGTTCTATAGACTTCCTAGTATGAATCACATGCTAGTGGAATTTTTAAGTATCTTTCACAGAAAAGCCCTTTTTACCATCTTAATTTGTTAGAATTTCTGTGGTTGATTGTAATTCACATTACCTGTTGTTCTTCCTTTGCGTTAGAGTCTGGCTGTTGGATGTAAAGTAAGTTAATTAGTAGGGCCTTTTAGTTTTTCAAGGGAAATTTTCCCTAGAGTATAGTTGAAATGCTGTCCAGCAGGCTGTTAATTGCATTCTGATCTTTTGTCAATATAGTATTTTAATAAAATAAGAAATCTTTATTAATGTAAGTTTATTGGTGTGAGTTTAAGAATAAATACAGCTTGACATTGGCTCTCTTCTCCTCAGTGCTCTCTATTTTATGATCCTTAGGAGTGAATGACTGAAACAGGAGAATATTTTGAACAAACAGAGAATATTGTTAGATTTATTTTCAGATTTCTGAAACTGTATTAAACAAAAGTATCTATATACTCCAAGTGATTCAAGGAATTGTGCTTTTGAAGACACATTTTCTGGTACAGTTGTCTCAGCCACTAAAGTTCAACCTTGTTTGACACGTGCTTGCGTGGACTCTTCTGCAGGTATAGGAAGAGCTCTGGTTCAATCTCTTGCTTTGTCCTCTAGGCCATCTTCCTTTCATGGGGGAGTTGGACTAGGTCATCCCTAGAGGTCCCTTCCAACACAGATGATTCTGTGATAGAGAATAGTTGTGTGAAAATGAATGTTAAAAACAGGATTTGTTTTCTTTCTTTTAGAATTGTGGTCTTTAGCTGTCATAGCAAAGAACTTTGCATTCAGTTTGTAGTCTAGTTTGCTTTCGTAGTGAAATTACTTTTTTATAAATAAAAGTTGATAAATTTATATCTTAGCATTTATTTAGCTTATTTAAAGACAGACAGTCCAAGTGCATAATCTACTGTGTTTAATTTTCCTTTTTTTCATAAATGGAGAAATTTATTAAGGATTGAATACAAAGTTACAAACAATGGGTGAGGAAATCACTGAACTTTTGAACTCTTGAGGGCTGTGGAAATTTTCTGGAGATGTATCTGTGTGCTTGCCTGGTTCCTATGCTGTTTTCTGAGCATCTATTTTTAGGTACAGCTGGAGACAGAATAGTAGTAGATGGGTGCTACAGCTGTCTCTGGTCTCCTTTATGATGATTTTTTTTTTTAATTAAGTGATACTTGATTTGATAAATTCCATAACTCAAAAGTTAAGGAAAGGATCAAAATCCCTTTCAATTTAATATATTTTATATGTAGCTTTAAATGTAAGTTGTTCCTATTAAAACTAAGCGAATACAGTAATTTTCTACTCTCTAGGGAAGGAGAAGAAAAAAAATAAAATCTCAGTGCTTGAATGAGACACCTGATTTTGTGTGTTCCATATCATGTTCCCCTGAGAAATGTGGGGATGGGACTTTTCTGAAATACAGGATACTTTTAGGTTATTAAACAAGGATTTATACACTTAATTCACAATATCTTCATGAGAAAGACTGAGCCTTGTCAGATTTCCCTTCTTCTTTTAGTTTTTTTAAGTTTGTAATATATGCTTATCCTAATAATACAGTCCATGGGTTTAGAGGTGTAATGGCAGCTTTATATGAGGGCTGAGAGAGAATTCACAAAATCTGTCAGTGGGTGATGCCAATCTCACCAGGCTTTCTCTGTAGGCAGTGGATGGAATCAGCCTTCCTCAAGAGCAAATCAGAGAAGCAGCTCGATTTAGCCACTCTGAATTCCTCTTTACATTAGAAGAGTGTTAGGTATTCTTGCTTGGCTAAATCTAAATCTTGTGAATGCGCTTTTTAACAAAGGCTTTCATCTTTATTCTTTATAAAATTGCAATTAAACATACCCTATATGGGAAATGCAAATTAATATATTTTTAAAGGTGAATCATTGGTTAAGCTGAATAAGAACTATCAAAGAAAATACTGTGTACACATCTGGAAAACTCCTTCAAAATTATATGAAAATTAAACTTAATTTTTGACAACCATGGTAGCTTTCGCACCACAGTTTCATTTGTTTCAATCCTTTGGTAGAAATCCTGTAAATATAATGAAAAAGAATGACATGCATTTAGTAAGAACTTGTATTTAAAAGATGGAAGGCAAACTCCAGAGATTTGATTCAGTAGTTTACGAAGTTATTATCTACCTCATACAGCAGAGTTGGCAAAAAATAAATCATAAAACTCTACATTTTTATCATCCCTTCACTGCCAGTTTCAGCAGATGCTGGACTTGACTTGAAGGATTTGAAATGTTACCATATTTTCCATTTGCTGGGTTGGGGAACGTGTTGGGAAGTGGAAGGCTGTACTGCAAGAGAAGGTCAAAGCATTTCCAACTGGTTCAGGAGAAATCATCAGAGATATTTTGACACCGCTTTAAGCCAGTTATTATTCCCCTATAAAAGAGTTTTTCATGTTTTGTGTTCCCAGATGGACCTTCAACTGATAAAGATTCTGAAGAAAAGAAAAAGGAGCCTGCGTCTTCCTCACAAAACAGCCCTGAGGCAAGAGAAGAAAGGTGCTTAATTCTTCATGACTATACACATAATCTCAGTATAAATTAACATTAAACATTTGTCGTGTTAGAGACAGTTTCTACATTCTTTTCTGAAATACATGGAGTTGTACAAGACATGGTGTATTGTTAGGGAAATAAATCCTGTTGCTGCTGTCTTTAAAAAAAGATGAAAGCCACAGTTCAAGATATGGCCAGACTAGTTTTTCATTCCATCTGTCTCATCTGTGAAATACTCCTTCCTCTCTCTCAGCCCTAGCACTGAGCTTTGAGAGCTGTAAAACAGCTTGCAGTCACAGCTTTGTGGTAATTGCATATGTTAGAGGTTTAGAATACTTTTTTTTTCTGTTAGCTTTTGTATTTAATAAGCAATCTCATTCTGCTTTTTTTGGTTAAAACAAAATACATGTTACAGAAAAATGAGGCCATGTTAATGACACTGTAGGAGATGATGAACATCTGTAAAATAGTATCTGCAAGCCCATTTCTTCTATACGTTTTTGGTATAATGAATCTGTGCCCAGCAGCAATTTTCAAATTGAAACTTAACCTCTAACCATTTGTCATGATGCAAGCTGCAGACTTTTTTGTTTTACAGTTTGCAAAACTACACTGTTTGTTTGTTACCATGGTGCCACTGCAGTACAGTAAGCAGACTGAATGTTACTGTGATGTATCTTCACTGTTTCTAAGGTGAAGTTCCATGAAGGAGGGAAAAACAGATAGCACATTAATGTAAAGAACTGAGCATTAAAACATACATGTCACATAATGGAATGAAATATCTGCCATGTCTCTGTTGTGTGGGATATCCTGATGTGTATTCTAAAGACACTTCTAAAATTGTATTGACCCTAGATCTAAAAGTAGCTTTAAGAAGGTGGCCTGTATTCTTTTTTTGGAAAGCCATCAAATGGATATAGCAGAAGACCTGTGCTTTTCCCCAGAACAGTTACTTGAAGAGGAGGGGAAAACATTTTAATTTATTTTTTTTTTGCCTTTTTTTAGCAGTTCAAGTAGCAATTCCAGCAACAGGAAGGAGGAGGGTAGTGCTCCCTCAAATTCTTTCATCCCTTCTTTTCCCCGGGCTCCAAGCACTTCGGATTCTGTACGAGTGAAATGTAGAGAAATGCTCTCTGCAGCTCTCAGAACAGGAGGTGAGCTTTGTAGACTATATTTTGAAATTTCACTATTTCCTTCTGCCCTATTTCGGTCGATCCCACTCTTATTTTTCTCCTGCCCTGCAGGGTAGAATAAACCCCATGTATGTCCATTTTTGTATATATATGCATAAGCCAGTTCATCCAAGTTTCAAATACTGAGTAACCTTGACAGCATGGTAATGTACTGAAATGCATTTTTGTTGCTGAATATATGGGACATTTTGTTGTGTTTTTTCATTTGATACCTCCCCTGCAATGGAACTTCTTTTCAGAAAGGTTATTACCTCTTTAATGCCTCAGGTAAATCTTTTTGTGGGAGCTGCTACTTTTTTTGGTCTTACCTGACTGAGAGTGCCACTATAGACATTGCTGCCTTTCTTACACCAGAGATCCTACAGGCTTTCAGATATTGGTTTTTGAAGGCTACCTTTCTGTTTTGATTTAATCTTGGAGTTTCATTGAGGTAGCCACAGTAACAGTCTTGCTTTGCTGCTTCTTCATGCCTTTTGGGCACCCGTAAGTTCCTTGACTGTATTTTTTTTTTCTTCCCCCCCCACCATGCACTCTTGGGTATCTTTAAACTGTCAAATTGCATAATATGCTAGAAAAGGAGCAAACTGAAATTTTGACTCTTCAGAATGACCTGAATTTTTTATTGTGCATCCTTCTACCAGAATTTATGATCTAGCACTTATTCCTCTGTTCTTAGCTTGGCATAACCTGACCCAGTGTAAGCAGACTTCTGAATAACTCATTTTTACCTTCTTCACTCTTTTATTCTTTCTTTTGATTCACATAAATTCAGGTACAGGCAGTAATCAAAGCTGATTGAAGACCATGAATTTGTCATCCTCTAGATATGCAGTTTGTAGATGTGTAGAGCAATTTGTAACCAGAAAGTTGCATATAGCATATTAGTATTAAAAATTCTATGTAGTCTTAATTTTAGCTAGTTTTCCAAGAACACTTTTTGCTGTTTTGCTTTCTACAGTACATGTTACTGATCATCCACAGGTTGAACGAATAGTTGTTTTCTGGCCTTCTGAATTGGAGATTCAGAATCCTGAGGCTTAAGAAGAAATGGTGTTTACATTATTCATTGCAGTACACCTGTGTTAAAATGGGGAGGAGGAAAACACAAACAGTATCTAATTTGTGCTCAACTGTCTTGAAAAGGCAGCTGTCTTTGAGTAAGGGTTTTGGTCAGAAACAGTAAACAATTATCTTGAGACATTTTAGGTCAAATGGTGCATTGTCTTCAAGATTCCTATAATTTATTTCTTCTAATTCACATGTTTTATAACACATCTCTGCTTTGCATTTTTAAAAAACAGCTGATAATATTGTTTCTCTTATTTAATTGCTAGGTTTCTAATGAAATTGTTCTCTTGCATGCTTGCAACACATTGATTGCTTATGCTTGTATTGTGTGGACTGAAAGAATTGATGAGACAAGGCAAAGTGTTTTATTTTTATAATATTCTATTCTATAAACAGATATGCTGTGGATATGGGTATTTGCCAGCTTATTAGAATATTTAAATTCTTCATCACTAAGTTCTTTGTTACTACTTGTATTTGCAACTAGATGTAACAATTCTTGGTTTTGGGAAAAATTTAGGGTTGGTCTACTTTTTTAAACTTCAGGTTTTGTTCAGATATTTTTGTTCTTCAAAGTAATAAGTTAACAAAGTCTAAAAAGGGTAGGTATATAATAAATTTAACTTTCCTATACAAAAGGAAAATTCACTACAGTTGTTTCATAATTTGCTGAGTTTTAGAGTTTTGAATGGACTCCAAGGGAAGTGGAACACTGAGATTCAGGTTGGTAATATTTTAATACTTGTTTTCCTCAGATGATTACATTGCTATTGGTGCTGACGAGGAAGAGCTGGGTTCTCAAATTGAAGAAGATATCCTTTTTTGTACAACTGGGTACTCTAGAACAAGAGTATTTTTAAAAGTAGTGATAATGTTAAAATTAATTAACTTGAATTGAATATATTTAATTGAATTGAAAACCCATCTATGCAGAAATGTAGTCTTTTAAAAACCAGCACAATCTAAATGATTTGCCTTAAATCGTATGAATGTGTGTAGGTAGGTGTGTGTAGGTGTTTTCAGTTCAGTATGTTTTCCTTGCAGCTGCAATATAATATCTTACTGGGACATTCTGACATTAAATGCTGGGCTCTTCTATGTTGTTTTAAAATCTTCTTTTGTTAACAGCTTTACTCTTTTTTTTTCTAATGTCTTTATTTCATTTTCTACAAGTTTATTTCTCAATGAACTTGGATTTCTCGAAGGGGTTTTTCTGGTTGCAATGTTTGAATAGTTACACAGCAGAGGTCTGGACTTCTCTTTCATTTAGGGTTTTGTTTTTTGGAGGAGTGGTTTTCTTAAGCATAGAAATAGTCTAAGCTTCAGGATTCTAACTTACTAACATCCTTCGGTAATTCTAGTCAGCCACCATTCCCGTTAAAGAATTTCCTGTTTCTGTTGCAAACCTCTTTTAAAATTCTGTTAGTGAGCTACTAGTGTTTGAATATCTAGTTTTGAAATCAATTAATCCTCACTGTGAGGTCAAGGAACTGGAGATAAATTTATGAGTGACTGTTCACAATTGCAATTTAGATCCTATTGTCTAAAGACTCATGTTTCACTGACCATGTGCTAAACAGTGATGAGGCTTCAGAAGGATGTGAAGGCTGCTGTTTAGGAAGGTAAAGTAACGATTAGTTGGAGTGAGGGAGGAAGACTTGACTGACAGTGTAGAAGTAGATTGCTTTAGAAAAAACTGGCCGTCAAAATGAATCCTTTAGAGTGTCCCCCTTTGTTAATGCTTTGTTCCTTAACTCCAAAGTACCTATTTTTCAAGAATTAAAAAACACTGATATGAAATACAAAAATAGGGTACGAAGTAGAATAGCGAATCTCAAGGATGCAAAGAATCCTAACCTAAGGAAAAATGTGTTATGTGGGAACATTCCTCCTGACAAGTTTGCCAAAATGACAGCAGAGGTAAGTAAAGTATACATCTTGAACTATTTCTCTGTTTGACTTGGCATCCTGGCCTGTGCTTAGTAGCCATGGAAATAATGTATGTAAGCTGTCTGCACTTTGGAAAGATTGTGGCCTGTCTGTGGCTTGCATAGTCTGAATTACAGGGCTGTGTTGGGGCAGAGGGAGTCAACCATCTTAATGGTTCTTAAGTAACTGATTTTTGCCTGTAAGCCAGAAGGCCAGGTGAGCTGTTGCAGGTAGCCTGAGACAGGATTTGTTTAGCCATTTTTAAAAGGCCACATGATTTATCAGTGATAGGGGTTTTTTTTTCAATTTAGAAAGTTGCAGATATGTCTGGCTAGTGAGTCCAAGCTGCTTAGCCTATTCACCTTTCTGGATTGTGTCAGCCTGTATTGCCATTCGATTTTTAAATGCTGACTTCTGTTATACTTCTGTGCAAGGTATGACACTGTGATTTTAAAGATCAGTCCCCCTACTGTTGGCATTTTCAGTATTCCTTTAAAGCTTATTGCATTCATTTAGCAGAATACTTCAAGTGATTTTCAAGGAAACTCTTAACAAATAGAAAAAGCCATGAATGATAGGGGAAGGAAGCTAGGAGAATTGCCCTTTAAATCAAATTTATATTATTGAAAGTACATTTTGGACACTTCAATAAGAATTCCTGTTCAGATGCTCTCTATCTTTACAAACCAAAATAATTCTAGGAAGTCAAACAAAAGTTTAGATTTTATGGGAGAGCAAAATGAAAACTCAGTTAACATCTGGCTTGAGTTCTGTTGTTCTTTTTGTATGTGTTGGATTATGCCCCCTCAAATAAGGTACAAAGGAGTATCTTGGAGACTGAAAGAAATCAAATTTATGATCAGGTATTGAAAATCAGTATTGGCTTTATTCTAAAGGAAAGGTTTTTGGTTTTTTTGATTTTTTCTGTTTCTTTACATAAAAGTTAGGGCAAACAGGCTGATAAAGGAATGAATGAAGAAAAGAACATTGTATCTTCAGTATATATTTTGAGGATTTTTGGTTCTATGTGGGCTTGTGTATGCAAGTACAAATAAATGTACATTCTGTGTTGTCCAGTGCCCGTTCTTTGTTTTAATTAATATCTTGGATTAAAATTTTAAGCACTAAAAAACACCATGGTGTTAAGAGCACTTTTAAAGTATAACAGCATTAGTGCAAGATTTGCATTCCTCACCTACATGGGGTGTGGAGTAAAACTTCCTCAAAGAAAAAAGGAAGAGCTTTCTTTTGTTGTGAACACTCAGTGACATTGTGGAGATCCTGCACACTACAACTGTTTTAAAGGAAAAAGAAAATTAACGAATCTAAGCTCTTCTGTTGGTGTTTTGAAACTAAGCATATATGACTTCTGATGACAAATTGTTAATTATGTCTATACTCTTTTTTCTCAGTACAAATATGTAAATAGTCAAAATAGTGTAATTTTCCCATAATAATCTTCTGTATGTCAATGAGATGATTATGCAAGGATATAACGTAGGGAGAGGATGTTGTCCCTTCTCTCTGGAGAACTTTTAAGTCCTCTACCTTGTCTCTGTATTACTTTTCAGAATTTCAGAAATACATTTGCATAGAAATGTTTCTAGGTGTTTGATACTGTAACTTGTATTGATTTATTTTTTTTCCAGACATTTATAACTTTTTGTAACTTCTGTGCTGTGTAGTACTGCGACTTAAGTCTGGTAAAATTAAAAATATGTAAAATTGTTTTGCCCTTCAATAAAGTTCTTAGAGTGCTAATGGCTTATATAAAGGTGAAAACTCTGTAGTAAACTTTGTCTGCTCTTTGTCCATAACAGGAAATGGCAAGTGACGAGCTGAAGGAGATGCGCAAAAACCTGACCAAAGAAGCTATCAGAGAGCACCAGATGGCTAAAACAGGAGGTACCCAAACTGATCTGTTTACATGTGGCAAGTGCAAAAAGAAGAACTGTACATACACCCAGGTATGTGAGGATTCTGACTCTTTGTTTTTCTTTGTCAAAGCATAAGTCCTAGATAAAGATTGCCGTGTAAAAAAGTTCTAATGATAAAACGAACTTTTAACAAAATGCTAATAAATTACAAAACATGTTAAGAAAAAAAAATATGTTAAGAAAGCTGGAACTACTTAGGTGTGCTTATGTTGTATTAATTTACCGAAGATTTTGCTTAAAATCAAGCTGAATGTCTGCGTAGCCTGAAACATCAGTTTCTTTGCAATGCTGAGTTTTTACTCGTTCCTCTTATTAGATCTTATTATTATGATTTTATGTCAAAGAGAGTTAGTGTAATGTTTTTAATGTGTGTAAACTCCTCTTCAAAGAGGGAATAAATAGCAGAAAGTGCTACGTATAAATATATAAAAGTATATATATGCACACACACACACATATAAAATCTACCATTTGACTAACGCAAGATTTACAGTCATTCCTACAAGCTTTTTCTGTTTTAATAAGGAAATACATGTAAGAAAGAAGACCTCTAATTTGTTTAGCAGTGCTCCAGGGCATGTAATTTAGTATCATAGGATCAGCTACATTTATAATTTAATATTGTGTATCAGATGCTTTAAGCAGAAAGCTATTTTTCAAGAACGAGGTTTTTAAGCATCTGCATCAGTAAATACATTTAAAGCTGTATGGAACATGTAGTTTTACTGCAGAGTATTTCAGAATATTTTCCTAGAACTATGTGCACAATTTCTATGTCAAGATTGATATTTCGGTGCTATGAAATCTGTCAAAAACTAAGTTTATGATTGCCTTATGATCTAGACAGAAACAGTTTTGTTTGGAAAGTTAACTTGTATTTTTATCCAGATGTGTTTTTTTAATGTTAACATTTTATTTTAAGCCTCTATACTGAACACATGCTAATAAAAGTTGCAGATACTGATTTTCCTTTTCTGCTCTGGCTCTTGCTTTTGCCAAAGGTTCAAACCCGCAGTGCTGATGAACCCATGACAACATTTGTTGTCTGTAATGAATGTGGAAACAGATGGAAGGTAAGACTGTTAGACTGTTCTGCATATTTGACAGCAGACAACCAGGCTTTGTGCTTTATTTTGATTTACAGTAAATGACAAGTGAGTTTTATGTTGACTTTTGGTTACTTTTTCGCCCATTCATGATATTGCATGTGTCTATTGCAAAATAACTTTAGGTTAGAGAAGTATTTTTGACTGAAGGTGTGAGGTAACACAAGTAGGGCAGTGGCAAAGGGGGAGAGAAGTCAGGATGTTATTGGCTTAGTCCTTGTGACATTTATGTGCAGTACTGCTTTGCATATGAAGTAGTGACATGTTAGTTACTCTGTTCTCACTATCTTCACCCAAAGATATTCTGTCTATTTTTAATCTCTGCTTTGATGAGTGTAATAGCTACATGTTGGGTTTTTTGTTTGTGTGGGGTTTTTTTTTCTTTTTGCTACTCTGAAAAGAAGTGGGGATAAAAAAAGAGGTGACTGCCACTGAGTTCCTGTGTCAGGATAAGTGTGATGCAGTGGTATCTTTAGTTAATTTTTATGTAAGTCTAGGAAATGGGGATTATAAAAGCTTCTGAGGAGCAGTGGTAGTCCAGTAAAGCAAAGAAACATTAAAATGAAGATCTGTAAAATTTATAACTTAAGATGAGAGAGCATGCATTGTGAAGCACGATACCATCAATCCATTGCTTTTCTGTGTTAAAAATGCAGCAGCTTTGCAGAACCATGTTGCACAGTATATGTTAAGATTATTGCATTGAAAAAAGTCTTTTATGTATATATTTTTACCTATCTTATTACTGAATGTTGTTCAAATCTCTACTCCCAAGATATTGAAATAATTTATAAAGCTTAGAAGTTGTTTGCAGTACCTGGAAAAGTTCATTTGTCCTTAAAATCTTCTGTAAGGTGGCAGTTCCAAAAGTGTCTGTATAAAGATGCTTGGATGAGAGAATGGTTATGATGAAAGCAAATGCTGTAACTAGTAATTTCCATATCCTAAGTATGGTGTCATATATGTGTTTCTTCTTGGAAAGATTTGGAAGTAAGCTCCATGAAGATCTCATAAAAATTCTTTTCTTTTGACAGTTCTGTTAGAAGAAGAAATTGTCAAGACATCTGGACCAGTATGAAAGAGGATTTTGTAATTAGCTTTAAAAACTAGGCTAAGAATCTAGCTTCCTGCAAATGAGAGATTTTTTGGGGTTTTATTTTCTTTTTTCTTTTCTTTTTTTTTAAAGCAGCTTATATGCCTGAAGTTAGCCTTTGTTTTGACACAACCATCATTTCCTTAAATGCCTTCCCATAGCTGATAGTCAGTAGGGCCAGGTTGCTCAATTGTATGGTGGATGTTAAAATATTTTTTCATTTTTATAAGTAAGTTGACATTAAACTTTTACCAATTAAACATTTTGGTAATTGGCTTGTTTTTTTTTCTCTGAATAATGTACTGTAGTTCTTGTGGTCTGAAACAAACATGCTCCTTCCAAATATATTTTACCTCTCCACATTTTTTGTTTCTTGCTGCTGTGTTCACTAGTTTTGCAAAGCTTCATTTAATTATGTTAAACTTGGTTGTTGACTAAATCACTGATTAGTTAACTGTCTAGTTTGAACATGCTATTTCTGAATTAGGACTACATTTGTAGTAATGGGGTTTTGGAATGTATTACTGGATTCTATGACCTTTTCTGCAGTGGTTGGTTAAGCTTGTTTATGTAACCAGCTTTGATCAATGCAATATATTTTATTGCCTAAAGCCTGTATTTTACATTCTATCAGTAGGTATTATTTCTAGAAGTGTCTTAAAATAGTTGGTTAAATCTGATTTGAGTGCTCAGTTTTTCGTAATGTGCTTGTCAACCAAGTTTGGTTTAGATTTTGTAAATAAGCAAAGACATTGTGTTGTAGGCTGTCCAATTAACACCAGCTTACCAATTCATCCCAATATAAACTGGCTGGGGAGGTGGTATTAAATTCACTTTGTATAAATGACATTCCTTTTTTCTTATGAACTGAATTTTGAGATGTAGCATATCCAGTGTCAATCATAGACCTGCAGGTGAGAATGAATTATTAAAGTTATGGTCTTATCCTTATGTGGAGTGATGTAAATACTGCTTTGTTAGAGCCTGCTTTTTAACAGTGCACATGTTAAGTATTTTTAAACGCACTTTCAAGGAAAAATATGTGAACATCTTTAGAAGAGATTAATTTTTTTTTATATCTAAGTTTACATGATTTAATTTATTCAAGTAGGGGGCTGAGGAGGTCCATCTTGGCAATGTATAAAGGATTCATGGGGGGATGGGCAGAGTATGGTTCTGGGAGATGAAATTCCTTGACTGTAAAGGAAAACCAGGACTTTCTATGTTGAATTTTTTTTGTGTGTGTGATGGTGGCAATCCTAAGAAATTAGCTGGAAATAGTTTAATGGCACTTGAGCTTTGGAAGACAAGAAATGTTTGGTAAATACTTTATATAGCAAGCTTTTCCAGTCAGCTTGTGCAAGGAAGGAAAAGTGGCTTTTGTGCTGAAAGGAAAAATGATTAAAATAGAAGAAGTTTAGTTAGTTACCTTTTTTTAGGCAGAAAAATGTTCAGCATTTAGTTTCTTGCATAACTTTGTAATAAAGCATTCTAAACTCAATTTATTTGATATTAATGCCCTGAATCAGAAAACAATGGTTTTTCTACTAACAGAATGGGTTTATTTTTAGCCTACTTGTAAGTCTTTTGGCAGAATTGCTTGGTAGTTACTTAAAGATGCATAATTAATTTATTTTTTCAAGTTGTTCAAGACAGCAACAAACAAATTACAAACATTTAATATCCATTACAGTGTTTTGTTTGAAGACCTTTGTAATGGAAAATGTTCAAAAAATTATGTTAAAAATGTTTAATATTAGATGCTAAGTAGATCTATGTTTTCTCTGCTGTTCATAGCACAGGTACTGGGCAGGCACAGGTTGGTTTGCATAACTTTCTTCATGCTATGTGTCTTTTAATCTTTATGCCTGACTGTGATATTTAGGAAAATTACCTTTTTAGAAAATAGATTAATTGTCTTTCTGTACTTAACCAATGATACCTGCACTTTGTTAAAAGAGCTAGAACTGTGATAGTGCTTTCTGTGAATGTAGGTGTATCCAAGTAGGAGTTCAAGTACAATGTTGTTTCACCTCATGTTACCTTATGGCTGTAGCAACAGCCTTCACCCTTTCTTCTGTCTCTGAGGTAAAAAGAACACTTTCTTTCTCGCAGTGAGAGATTAAGTCCAAGAACTAGATCCAGTAAAGATCATAGGTGCCTAAATGTTGTTTATGCTTCGTTTTGATTACCCAAGTCCAAAAATAAAACTGCCCAGCAGTGAGCTTTGAATTCATCTCTGTTCCGCAGGTCCTTCCTTCTTCACAGTTGTCTGAAATTGCCCTGGTCTATCAGAGAGGATGCAAAGCCTAAAGGATGTATGGTGAAGGATGCAGAAGTGGGGCTGGGACCATATCTTGCTTCCCCAGCTGACTGGCTTACCTACTGAGCTGCAGTCATGCTATGACTGACCCAGTACATTTGGCTATTTTATGCATTGAATCATGCTGGCAGGACCGATGATGAATCCCTCCCATCCAGGAATTGCAGGTTTATTACCTGTATGGACATTTGAATTGTCTCCAAGTTTAAAATGTCCATAAAGGTAATAAAGAGCAACTGGAACATAGTTGCCCTACAGCTAAAGCTAGTTTTTACACTAATCTAGTAGAGCAAGAGAGTAGGGTGTGTTCATTTTAAAGTGTGTGTATATCTTTGTAAGATGGCATCATCTTGCCTGTGTAAGGAATGCTGGAGGTTTCTGCTGTTCAGAAAACAGAGCTTCTGAATCCTTGGTTAAAAAGCATTTCCTCATATATAATTCTGTTAACTTGCTCAGGAGAATGTGTGGGCTTAGGAGTGTCTTGCAGTGAATGATTATTTTTGACTAGCACCAATCAGAAGGTAAATATCTGCTCAATTATTTTGGTTTTTGTGAACATCACTTTGAATCCGTGGTACACTTTTCAGGCATCACAAAGAAAGTGCCTGGTTTTTATCCATAGTTCAGGATTCCACTTGTGGTCATGTTTGCAAATTTTAAATACGAGCTTAGGTGGAACTTATATTCATCAACATGAAGGCTTCTTTCTGCCAAAAATGGTTGTATTACTTTTCAAATGTATGCCTTTTGAAATAGATCATTAGTAGTCATTCATATAAATGAATCTGAGGAGTTTCACTATTAAGTACAATTTCATACAGCTGTATATTAACTGCTGTTTCACTAAATCATCACTAATCTTAAATGGTTTTATCCTTTTAAAAGGTTTGGGATTAATTTATTTATAACATTAGTATAGAAAATCTTTAATGTAATTGAAATGATACCTTTCATGGCAGAAGACATGTATTCTTAACTACTGTTTTCAGCAAACTTGTTTAAAAATTACTTGACATTGTGATAGTCCTTCTCATCACTTTCTCTCAGATATCCTTTGTAATCAGAAAGTAAGTGCACAATGTGTGATAAATGTCAATCTGTCTTTATACAGTAGAGCCCTTCAGGATATAGATTTTATGTTTTTTCTTCATTTGTATTATGCTATAATGACTTTGGAATTTAAAGGTCAGCGTAAAGCACAATATGTTGGCTGAAGGAGCACATGCAATTTTAATAGTGCTTAGCAGGCTGGTGAAAAGAGCAGTCTCTAACAGTGTGCATATTCTGTGGGAGTTACTGGTTTCTGAAATGCAGACGTTGAAGAAGGAATACCAGTGGACTGGAAAGTTGTTAGAGCTTAATGATACCCTGCAGTTAGATAAATGCCAAGACAAACCAACCATGCTTATTTTCAAGCTAGGATAAATTGATTTTGTGATAATTTTTTACTTGATGAATTATAAATAATGTCTTGTGTCAGTATGATTATTTTGTCCTGCTATTCATGTAACAACTTACCTATGGAAACTTTTCTTTTTCAGTGCAGATCATTTTTGCCCTCAGAAAAGTTGGTGCATAATGAGCAAGTGTATAGTAATGAAATGTAGATAAAAACCTATTTTCTGTGCAAAAGGGGTTTTGTTTTCCTCTTCCCTCCCCCCCTTTTAATTAAGTCCAGTATTCAACAGCCACAAAATAACAGGATATTTAAGGGGATGGTTTGTTTGGGTTTTTAAGGAGATATTCTTAAGGTTTCTAAGGACCAGCATTCTGCCATTGGTGTTCGGTGTAAGATTAAACCTAAAACACAGCATTAAAATTTGTTACGATTTCCCAGTAAGGATGCACATTGCAAATGTCAGCACATTGTAATGCAGAAGTAGAATGAAAATTGCCTAGAGAACTTCAATTGCTTAGAAGTTATGGCACATGAAAAATAAGCTTAGAAATAATTTTCTTCTTTAATAATCTAATGTTAACTGTAGAACTGCCCAAACCAATATAACTTTCTCTCCCCTCTAATTTCATTGCATCTTTTCCTTTCTTTTTCTTGCAGAATAATACATTGTTTGATATAAAGTATGAGTGCTCAGTCTGTCTTCCAGCTCTTAATGAGGTATCTTTGCAGGGAAGAGAGATAACTTAAAAGAAATGAAATTCTCCATTTCGTGAAATGACACACTTTGAACATTTTTTGATGTGTGCATCTGATCTTCCCAGCAAGCTGCATTTGACCTAGTTCAACTTGCTTTGCCAACTTAGAGCTTCAGAGCACTCTTACCCGCCCTGATTAAACCAACTACAGCATCATCATTTTGACTGCAAGCTCCCCATGAATGCTGCCTCACCAACACACCTAGTTGGTTTTGTTGAGGTTACTACCCATCATGTAATACTTTATGCAAACTTAAATTGTATTGGTAATGCTTTGGGGCTCATCTGCTAGAATTCAGCTGAGATAACCAGCATGTTAAGCAGTTGCAGCCGCTGCCTGGGCTGTGTCTTAAGATAGTGATACATAGAAGGGCTTCTTCTTTACTTGGTCGTTCAGTGTTGTGCTTCAGAAGGCAAAAGTGCTTTGATTTATGGTCTCAAGTTTTTCTTGTTTGCTTTTTTGTCCTGACATGTTGAATAGTATTTAGGGTTTTGGAAGATGATGGAAACTGTTCATAGCTATTGTTAACTTACCACATATCGGGGCTTGTCCTGTGGTGCTGCGTAATGAAAAATATCATCATTATTTGTTAATCGTGTGAATGCAGTAAGGAGAGAACATGCCTCCTGCCAAGTGCATTCAGGAAACAATTAAATTGATCTCCTAAATTCTGCCTTGTTATTTCCATTTTCTTTTTTCGAAGAAAGTCCCCATTTTGTGCTTTTCATAAGGCTGGGATTAGGCAAAGAGTAGGTTTTAGAAAGGCTACAGTGAATATCATT